AAATGACTATACTGTACCAAAGTTTACTAGTAAAACTATTTTTTAATAAACGTTCCCAAAAGCCATGTAGTTTATAGATCTTAGCTTTTCTTAGGATTTTATAACATTGATCATGTTAGTTTTGCTGATATATATATATATATATATTATATATATATATATATATATATATATATATATATATATACTAGCCGTTTACCCGCGCTAAGCGCCGGGCGGCAAAGAGTTTCTTTCGGAAGATAGTTTTATCAGTGATGATTAGTTTCCTTTAGACGTGAGCTATTCATTGCGGCCATTTGGTAGACTATTTTGTGTCGAATAGCTCATTTCAACGGATAGTTTCTTGCTAGGTGCATAGTCATACAATACGACAGAAGTTGAGTCTACATTTGGAATTTCATCTAATAGTTCATACTTGATTTTACAATATATATATATATATATATATATATATATATATATATATATATATATATATATATATATAACAACAATCTGCAAACATGTAGTTTTGTACATTTATAACATGTCCAATATATAAACTACACCAATCTGCAATCATGTTGCTTCATCTGCTAGCCCTGCATTAAACATCAAATGAGCATCTAAGATACATATTTGAAGAAATTGTAAAATAATAAGTTGTTGTAGTTGTGTTGAGTATGATGGCATGTGCGGAATTAGAAAAGATCTAGTGAATCATCATGTAAAATCAAGAACACAAGGAGTAAATAAATCTTTGTAAGCTCATATTAGATCTAGAAATGATATACAAATGGGTTTGTACACAATTTCTCTCTCTAGTCTAACACTCCAAATGGTTCCTTACATAATGGGAGTCACTCACTTCCTATTTATAGGAAAGACTCAACCCATTTACACATACAAGAGGGTAAGCCTATAACACTACATCCAAGAGTGACTTTGCACCCTAACATTCTCCCCCTCAAAGTTAGGATTGGATGTCCCGGCTTTAGTCTCCAACGAGCTAGCGCGATCAAGACCAAACTCCCCCTCGAAGTAACACCGGTCTTCAAATCCGCAAATGAATATTCGACAAACCCAAGAAGCTTCGAATACCCATCATTCTCCCCCTTTTTATAATCAAAAAATGATTATAAAACCCACTAAGGGTGAGAAGCGCCCGAGGAATAGTCTTCACGATACTCCCCCTTGATGTGTACCAAAAATGAATCACCAAAAATCTTGCACGGAAAAACAATCACGAAAAAGCCACAAAAAATTTCCAATTTATGAAATTTTTTGACTTTTTGGGTGAAAGTTGCAAGATTTCTCAAAAACCGGGTAAAAATCGTCACTTTCTGAATTCTGCAGGGACCCGTTGCGCCCAAAACAGCCAAAATATGCAAAACTCTCCCCTTTTCCAAAGCTGGGTAGAAAGCATCAATTTGCACAAACTGCGGGGGTTTGAAATGCATTTTCTTCAATTTTCAGCAAAAACAGTCCTTTTTCGAATTTGGGTATGAACTGCCAAACATTCGAAGCCTCAGGGACTATTTTCGAGAAATCTTGCCCTTTTTACTCCAAACGTACGAAACTTTGCCTTTTGCCTTCAAAACATACGAAACATTTGCCAATCATACGAAGAGTTTTAAAATCTGTCAAACAGTCGAAACTATAAGGGCCATATCCAAAACTTTTCCTTCTTTCTTCCCCAATTTCGTTTCTCAGACAATTCCCTTCGTACGAAATCATCCATGCTTCACTTCGTACAAAACTTCATCCAAACACACAAAAATTTTCACAAAATCTTCTTCACTTCGTTAGTTCAGTTCGCGAATCATCAACAATCAAACGAAAAGTTTTCTCCAACCCTTCGTATGAAAATTCATCTGCCCATATGAACGAAAATCTTTTAAGCTTTCTTCTTCCCTTCGTACGAAATTGAATCAAAATTTCGTAGTTCATCGATTTCGTTCCTTCTCATATTGACATCAAAATCAATACATCGTTTTTCAGTAACAAACATCCAAAAACTCGTCGACATCCAAATCTTTCGAAATCACAAATCAAAATCTGATCATCGACATCAACTATTGAATCTCTCGTCACTTCGCGTTTCCAAATAATCAACCATCTACATCGATATTTGTTGTACACAAATCGACTATCGACTTACAAACCATTAACCGATTTCGTTTCTACAAGCAATGATCATCAATCATTCGAAAATTCAACCACAGTCCACAATTATCGACCCTCAATTCCAATCGACATCAAAAACAATAACCATACTTGATTTCACACCCTTCACACTTCGCTATTGACCTTGTCGATTCATCACTTCACACCATCAACCATTTCCAGTTCGTTCTTAATCACCAAACAACAAAATCAGTTGATCATTGATATCAATTTCTTCCGATCATCAAAAACGAATTCAGACTCCAACCATACGAAATCAAAAATCAATTCACCAATCGAGTTCCCAAAACGACTTCCCAGTCTTCGTTCTTTGACAATCGAACCATCGATTCTTGACTCCTAATCATCACTTCACTTCCATTTAACAATCGACCTAGACCAATCATCCAATTTGCAGACTTCGCTTTTTTTTTTTTTTGGTTTTCAATCCAAAGCAAATCATCAAAGTTACGAATCGAGATTGAATCCAAACTCAAATCAACCATTGTGATGATCATCGACACCCAATCAATTGAAATCAAAAGCATTTTGGACTTCGATCTTAACTAACAATCCCTCAATACTTCCAATTTCATAACCAAATCAAACCAACGAAAATCAATTTCGATCCAAAATAGATTGTTGACTTTCGATTTCAAGATAGTCAACGTGAGTTCTTCAAACATTGACATCACAAATTTGATTTTTCTTTCGAATTGACTCCAAAAATCGATTTCCAGAACATTTTCATGTCTACGAAAATCAACTCTGACCTTCTAATCAACAAAATCGATTTTGATTTCAAAACTGATTTCGATTTTGACTTTTCATAAAACTTCATTTGACTTTCAACCAATCAGTCAAATTTGACTTTAGCTCCAGATAAAAGATATTCGATTTGAACTATCGACCAGTATCAATTTGGTTTACACAATATCAAATTAGAATTGCCTACAATTCGAATTCAATCAATCCCAAGTTACGAGATTTCCTGCTGCGAGACCTCAAAAAATAAGAACGCTTCCAGGGAAAAATATGAAATCGATATGAAAGAGTCACGATTTTGTAAACAATCAGCAAGTTATATTCATATCACAAAGAGATGAAATCGAAACATCTTTTGAATCGAGAGCAAGGATAATCAAATATCAAGATGCGAATGAATTGATTTTGGGTCAAAACGCATCTAATGGATTAACGATTGGACTGGATTTCAAATCAGGTATATCAACAGTAACAGATCGAAAATTTGGGCTTCAATTCAAAATAGATGAACAGTGAGATGCTTATAAAATTGGATCACATACTTGGGCTAATGAACAGTAACTAATTATGTGATTAAATTGGACTCAAAATTTGGATCAAAATGATTAGATAACATGATTTGGCTTGATCTATGAAAGAAAATAGATTGGATCTACAATTGGGCTTGAAACAAATTCGATCCAACCGAGACAAAACGATCAAAAATGAAAAACGTAAAATATGAATCGAAATCATGGATGTTTTGGAATCCATTTGAGAATTTGTGATACCTTTTTGACGAATCGAGTTCCATTTTCAACGAACGAATCGAATTTAGAAGATCTTGGTTCTTTAGTTGGAACGAGAAAATCTCCAATTTGAACATTGTACCACCCATTATGCGAGATGTACAACTCGTTCTTCGTGTTCTTCGTCGATCCAAGAACATCTTCAAAAGAACTTCCAACACTCTTGGGTTTTGACTTCAAATTCAATGCAACCTTTGGAGATTGTTGCTTTGGAACCCAAATTTGCTTCACAGATTTCGACTTCACAACATTTGACGATTTTTGTGAGTAAACCCGCTTGTTTTTCCGATTAATCTTCTTCTTCTTTTTCTTTCTCATCTTTTTGCATCTTGAAGACTTGATCTCATGAACAAAACCACTTTCCACAACATCAACTTTATGAGTTTGAATCAAATCTTTTGGAGTTTGATACTTGTGAATTTCTTGGATCACCGGCTTCCGATAAGGAATCATTCCTTCAAACGAATCACAAGAACACAAAATATCATCGGTTTGAACTCCAATCGAGCAAAAAACTTTTTCATCTTGAAAATCAACTTGAACGCCTTTTTCTTGAACATCAAGATCATCATCAAGAACACCTTCCCGAGCTTCACGACAATCTGCATAATATTCAAGTTTATTGCTTCCATATTTGCATTCAACACGAGAAATTCCTTTTATGACTTCTCCATCTCTTCTATTTTTTCGTCTCTTTTGATATGTTGTAACCAAACGATCAAACAAATCTTTGGTTTGAAAAATTGGACGACTAATTAATTCTCCAACTTCATTCTTTTCTCCATTTACAACGATATCACATTCACTTTTCAATCCAACAGTCAAGCTATAAAGAAGATATTCAAAAGTGCATTCACCTTGAACATCCTTACTATGTATCATCCATTTCTCCATAATTGCTTCTTTTCTTTTGAATCAAATGATATGAACTTGGGTTTTCTAGAGAGAGAAAGTGATTTTGAATGGATTTTCTAAAGAGATAAAGCAAAAATCACTTGAATTCTAGTGAAGAAAATCGAATTATGAGTAGAATCAAAGATGAATTCGATTTCTAGAATCCAAACTCTCCAAATCACGAAGATCAATGATCAAAAAATGAATCACCAAATCAAGATAGCCATCAAGGATCAATTCTTGATCCAATCAAGAACACCCGCTCTGATACCAATTGTAGTTGTGTTGAGTATGATGGCATGTGCGGAATTAGAAAAGATCTAGTGAATCATCATGTAAAATCAAGAACACAAGGAGTAAATAAATCTTTGTAAGCTCATATTAGATCTAGAAAGGATATACAAATGGGTTTGTACACAATTTCTCTCTCTAGTCTAACACTCCAAATGGTTCCTTACATAATGGGAGTCACTCACTTCCTACTCACTTCCTATTTATAGGAAAGACTCAACCCATTTACACATACAAGAGGGTAAGCCTAAAACACTACATCCAAGAGTGACTTTGCACCCTAACAGTTGTTGATTATACCTTGTTAATCACATAAAACTTCTTTGTACACAACGTTTGATGTGTAGATTCTATCATTATCGAAAGTTTTTTCCGGATTTACTAATACATTGGTATTGAAACGTGATATTCCTCTGGACAACGCCACATAAAGTTGGCCATGTGAGAACAGCTGCTAACAATTTCTCTCTCTAATAGAAAATGCAAGATTTTTATAAACAGAATACTTATGATAAATTATGAAAATGAAATAAAGATATAAATAATTTTTTAAACATACATTTTGATCAATGAGAACAATGAAGAGTTTGTTTGCTCTTGAGTCCCTCCAAATGAAATCCACACGAACAGGTGTCAAAATATACCACAAATGGAGGTTTAGTAGCAATGAAAATGCATCAACGTAAATGTGACCGTTCATGATTCTACAAAAAAAATCTTTCAATTAGTATAGAAAAATTTTATGTACGAAAATATACTCGCCACTATCGACGATCAATAAGAATATATATATTTAAGGCCTTGTGTAGATAATACTTTAGGTCATGATTCACAGTATTTAGTTATGAGATCTCATTAAGTTTTTTATTTATTTTTAGCTTTACATGATTTTCGGTTTATGAAAATATATGTTATATTTATATTCATTTATTATGAGTGGAAGATAATAAATTTGAAATGTGTTCTTTAATATTCAAGTTGGGATCTCACATTCAAGCTTTTGTGAAATAGTTTATATGTGATATTTTGGTAGTCTTTATTTGGTTTGTGTATATAGTTCACCTATCCATAGTAAAAGTATATATTTTTATTTTTTGAAACTTTTTGTTTTACATATTTCAAGGTACGATTTAACCTAAAAACTTAATACTGGATGTGTCTTATTAAAGAAGATATGATTATGTAGAGATATAAATCCAACACCCAATGTAAATAGCATTCAAAATTATTTATTTAAAGAAATTTGAAAATAAACAGGCTATTTACCAATTTGTGTTGAAGGTTGTGAATGCACTGCATTCGAGTCAAGATATGTGATTTCCACTTTTGGTTGACCAAGCATCTTCATATCAGACACACAGAAATACTTAAACCTTTTGAGAAGAATTTTGGATTTTTATTATATAACATTGTCCATAAAGATGACATCCATGGATCTAAGGACCCTTCATATCTGCATAAGAAAATCATAGCAACTTTATTTAAATCACTTTTCTGAAGTTCAACGAAAAATAAAAGCTTATTAGACTCAAGGGCATAAATGGTATTTTACTTTTTAAAAGAAATCAATATTTCATGTAAATAAAAAAACAGAGTCCAACACTACAAGTCAACAAAAACAGAGTAGCATTAGCCATGATAGAATGTTGGTGCAATACTTGGAATAAAGAAGTGATAACACACAAAACTACAGAAGTCATAAAGAATCCTGGAATGTTAGCAAAACCCTCTTTACCTGCAAAAGCCAAAAAAAAATATTACTATCACAATCATCAAATTTTTATAAAAAAATCCAAACTACACACTACTCATAGCAAAAATGCCAACATTAGGTTGCTTGTTCATAAATCCAATCATCAGCATTTTGCACTTTGCAATGGATCAAATTTATAAAGTTAAAGCTTGAAAAGGTGGAGATATACATGTAGCAGCATATATATGATGGTTTGGGGATAATAATTTATATTTAAAACTTTCAAAGTTGAATTATTTTATTTTTAGGACATTGCTTTAATGAGAAAAAAAAATTCAAGACAGGAACTTCAATATTGAGAGTTGCAGAAAAATCTGTCCAAGTCAGATTATATTCAATGATAGTCCAAAAGTATCCATGTCTTTTTGTTCAACAAGAATCGAATGAGAAGAAACAAACTTGTGCATCAGGTAGAAAGCAAACCTGTTGATGTTGGGGAAGGGATTGTATTGTGTCAACTATTGGTGATTTGTAAGCCCTTGATAAAGCAATAGCCATGTGATCAACCCTCACCTATAACAATATGAGAAATAAGTTATATCATTCACCAAGATAAATATCAAATCAAAGTTCAGTTGTCAAATTTATTTAAGGACTAAATAGAAGTAATGTTTACCATGGAGGATAGATTTGAAGTGGAAGTAGATTCTCTAAGCTCTGTTTCCAGCCTCTCAATTACACCTCTGAAAACCAAGGATAAATGCGTCAGTTTGATCCAAATATATGAAACCTTGAGAGACTTTTTAGGCAATAAAACAATTTTTAAAAAATGGAGAATATGCCAACCTGCAGATACCAAGAGCTTTCCTCATATCTCCAGATGAAGCTGCAACTTTCTGCCAATCAGTATTTACGTTAAGTCAAGTCTTATAAATTTTGACATTAAAATTAGAAGGAAAATATATATAATAATGTGGTGTACAAGATACTCACTCTTGCACAAAGTTCCAGTGCTTGTGGCTGGAAAACAGTGTAAGGAAGTGCCTGATGAAACAAGACATTCATCAAAATATAAACATTTTGCAGAAAATTAAGTAACTCAAAACAAAAAAAAATAAAGTAAAATCAAGAGTGCTAAAAAGATTAATAAAGAATATTTACCACTAGCCGTTGTTTGAGAATCATGATGATTTGATCCATGGTGTATGCTCGAAAAGACAAAACCATTGGTTTGCCTAGTAGACACAATTACAGAAAACATGCATTAACAAAAATCCAAAAAAGAGCATATACCCATATGGCTAAATTCAATAAATAGCAACCTAGTTTAGAGATTGTAACTCACAATTTAGAGATTGTAGTTTTGGAAGGAAACGATCTGCTAAGTCAATTGCATTAGCTATACCTGTAAAACAAGATCCAATATGAGAAACATAGATAAATCAAGAACACATTTAACTGAAAAACACCATGTCAAATCATACCTATCAATATAATTTTTGAAAAGGGCAATGTTGTTAGCATAAATAGATCATGGAGCACCACCCGGTCCTTTGTAATCAAGTAATCCAATTCATCAGCAATAACCAACCTGTTAACAAAGCATTTATCAATAACTATTCACATTGCTATAATTGGATGGATTTTTCAAATGTAGCTAAAAAAGGCATATACATCTTACATCATTTTTGTGCCAGATGACTGTTGCTTTTGAGAATATAATTGCTGAATTTGTCTTAAGGGTGTAGAACGGTTGTTGACCTTCTTATGTGGTTGACTCTTTCCAAGTATCTGCCAAAGGCATTAGCTTGTAAGCACTAAGTTGGTTGCATATGAGCCAATTCATATCAATGTATTGATAAGGTTTTACCTTATTGAAAATTTCTGAAGTAGTTGAGAGAGAAGTACAGTTTATGCCCAAAATGTCTGGGAATTGACCTCCTGTCCGGAAACAATACATGATTCCACTCGTTATAATCTCCATCTTTTAGATGGTGTGAGTAATTATGTAAATGCATTAGTTCCACTGGGATTACAAAATGAACAATCAAGCATATGGAGATTACCTCTTTAGCCCAAACAACTAGAGACTTCTTCACGTTTTCCATGGAAAGCGATTTTCCAGTCCCTGGGCATCCACAAACGTCCAAGCTCCCAGCCTTCTCTTGCTCAATGCGTAGTTTACAAAACTCCACTATCCGTTTCTGTTCTTCCTCTCTGCATACTGGCACAGATGGCGCTGTGGATACATGTAAAGCTTCCTTGACCGTACTTAATTGCTCAAAATCTACATAATAGAAGAGCTTAATTCAGAATATACGCACCAAAGAACACGAATTTCATAGATCTGGTCACATATTAGGTAATTCCACTATGAAAAGAAAATCGAGATAACCTGTTGGATTCCAGATCGGTTTATCCAGGAAACCATCCGGCTACTCCGACGACATAGGCAGAAGCTTGGCAGGTAACGTGGATCAGGTATTTGGGCAAAGGAGGTAGTGGTGGACGCTCGCCACCGTGCGCATTCACTTCCGTGCTCCTTCGAAGATCCTGTGGCGCACCATCCGAGGTCAGGAGGCGACGGTGGGATTTTCTCTTTTCTTTCTTGATGATCTTCCTTAACTTCCCCGAGAATCTTGGTTGATCGTGGTTGATCTAAGTTTTCTAGGGTTAGGGCTACTTGTGTGTGATGGAAAAGGTGGACTGCATCTTTGGTGGAGACGATGAGAATTAGTTTGATGGCGGCTGTGTTTAGGAGATTAGGGTAAGGTCCTTGTAGTGTAATCCGTGTAGTGTAATACATATAAGATTGGTTATGTGCTTAATATTATTGTATATGAGGTAATATATATTGTACCCTTAATTTTCAAAAAATGGGCAATATCCTTAATAATATAGTAAATATATATATATATATATATATATATATATATATATATATATATATATATATATATATATATATACGTATCACAATATTTATACCAAAACTAGAGTATACCATAACTTGTACAAATAATAATTTATCTTTAACATAAGGATGAAAAACTTGTAGTTATTTATGGAATAAACAAAGTTTGACTTGTATCCCCCACTACTAGAAAACAGCCCTTTAATGACGCACAAACAATGACACGCGGTGGTTTACGATACGCAAAAGCGTGTGCCCTAAAAATAATGTCATCTCTTCTAAAATTTGAAGGATAGAGGACAGGCTTTTGTGCGTGCCCTAAAATTAATGTCCAACAAAAAAAATTAAAAACACGGAGGGCACTTATTTAAAAATGGGTGTCGTCTAGAAATGTCGCTTTATATTTTTTTAATGAAAGGCGCGTTCTCTTCTTTTACAGCTGGAGGGAAACGAAAATCCCAAAAGTTTGAAAGGCCACCATTGTTATCTTCTTTTGCCTCTCCTATTCCTCTTTCACTTCATCTGATTGCTCCCTCTTCACAAAAACTAGTACCTCTCCCTTAATCGAGGTAGCTTTTCATCCAAAAGTTCCCGCATGATACTATTTCACTTATGTGTCGGTAGCGTTCTCCTCCAAATCCTTACTTTTTAATTGGTCCGACCATCTTCTGGACTTCGCTTCCGTTCTAGGGTTTTGTTTCTCTCTTTCTCTTGAACACCGTATGATTCATCTTTATTATCTTCTCTTTTTACATGATTTGAAAGAACGAAGATTGTATATTCCACTTCTTTTGATTCTTGCCACTTTTCAACAAAAATTAGAGTTTCAATTTGGAATCCAATTCATGAGGTCTGCTTAGATATTGGTCGTATTTCGTATTAAACTTTCATTTTTTCAACCCCTTTCACTTTAATCCATCTTCTAGCATTCTCTTCATGTGAATATATGTTGAACCCCTATGTTTATTTTCTTTTCTTCATCATGTTTGGAATCGATCCAGGTAAAGGGCTAGAACCCTAATTTCATTTCTAACTTTGTATTTTGAAAGTTTTTTTAATCAGATGTTGCACCTGTTAGTTCGTCCCTTCTCTTCCAAATATGACTTTAGTTTGTGTCTTTGTTATGTGATTTTGGTAAAACTTTCTCATTTTATGTAGCTACTTATCTTATTAAACTATAGCCCTATTTCTAAATAATATTTGTTTGTTTTCTGGAAGCAGTTATCATGTTAGCAAATTGGAGATTAGGATTCGTCTTAAGAGAGGATAAGACAAGAGAAAACCTTGAATTTAAGGTTCAAGGGAGGAGCCCTAGGAAACGAGAGAAAAGAAGTCTGATGTGTCGTTTGGGGGGAAGGCGGTGTAACCTACATCAATCGAGGATTCAACACGTTTTCTAACCGACGCTTGAAACAAAGCAGGAGGTGGCGTTCCATGGCAATGAGTGACAAATCTGTGCTTCCCTCCTCCAATCGAAATGCTTTGGACTACTATTTTTTAACTCATACGGTGCTTATAGCTTGTCTATTGATCAGGGTAAGCTAACGTCTCTGGTTACCCTTTGTTGCCTCAAACCTTCTTCATCATGATAGTTTCAGAATCGGGACAGGTGTTTGGGAGTTGATTTCCAGATTCTTCATAAGAGTGGTAATAACAAAGAGAAGAAATAAGCACATACAGTATATTGGTTTTGGATTTTAGCCAAACCACAGACTGAAATAATATAACAGAAGGGATCAACTTAAAATCAATTAGCTTTACTAATTATCTAAAAGGGTTTATGCTTGGATATAATTTTTTTTTTTTTGTTAAAATGAAGGGATAGACAGTGAGGATCATTTGATTTGGAAAATATGTTTGTTTGTCATATATGTGTTCAACATGTGAATACGTATATTATCGTTATTAAATCTGGTCTCCTACTGTAGTCAACCCAATTTTTGAAACTATTAATCTTTTTCCATAGCCTTCAACCCAATTTTTATTAAATTTGGTCTCCTACTGTAGTCAACATGTGAATACATATATTATCATTATTTTATTCCCATGGTCCCTTAATAGTTACCAAATTCAAGTATGTTTCCAAAAGAAAGACAATTAATGGTTTCAATAATGGGTTTATGCAAGAATTGAATGAAAATAACTTGATGTGAAGTATATGAAAACATGAGTTTGAAATTGATGGATCATTTTTTCTTTATGATACGAAATTACTCCAGCAAAGTTTTTCCAAATGTTGAATTTGCACTTTTTGTTGACTTTTGGGTGGGATGTAGTTATACTTGGTGACTACCTTAGCTCTTACCACCCAAGCACTTTACTATGGTTACTTCTGTCATCAAAATACATCCAAAAGGCAAGATCATAAGGTAAGAGTTTTCCTTTTTTTTATAATTCATATCATATGGTAGGCAGTTCTTAATCCATAAAGTTTCCTCATTTTTACAGATTAAGTCAGCAGACAAGAAAATAAAATGCAACCTGGAAGAGTCAACGGCTCCTATGCTATCAAAACCCACTCCAAGTTTGCCAATTCCAGTTGCTGATTACGATTCTGCCCCTGAGAGAGTATACTACACGTAATTGTTTTGCAATTCCATGACATTCCTATCATCGATGCTAAAGTACCTAGAAAAATGCATACTATTGGTGCAAGTTTTTGGGCAACAGGTACCGTTCAACTTATACTCCCATTTTACTAGTCTGTTACTTGTTTCAATGATAAAGTACCTAGAACAATGCATACTATTGTTCACCTCAATCATTACTCTTATGTGCATATAATCAATCATCTTATTTATAGTATAGGAAGTGAAAAGTATTTTGGGAGTTTGTAGGACATAGGCATAACAAAGCTGACTTCAAATTTGATTGCTAATTTTAAACTGTTACTACTGTATAGGTATATACTCATAGCTGATCCTAGAGGAAGATTGAAGCTTTGGAAGATATGCAATCGTTTTTGTATCTGGGAACTTGCAATTTTCTTTAAGTTCAATTAACATATCCCTTATTTGAGGTCTTTCTATTTTCTTTGTCCTTGTTCCAAGTAAAATGACTATATTTTTGGGATCAAAATTGCAAAAATCATCTATAATCAAGGACCCAATTGGTCAGTAATTTTGTTCAGTGGCAACATTTGAAGAATGAAACAGAAAGTATGGCAAAGAAGATAGAACTCCTAGAAATAACTAAAAGGTTAGAATTTCATGTTCTGAATATGTTAATTGCACTTTAAGTCGCCACACATGTAGTTATGAAACTAAGATTCTTGGTTCTAAATTAAAGCTATAATAAAATCATCGATCCTAACATCTTAAATCTTTATTACAGGAAACTTTTGGGAGAAGGTCTGGGATCAAGCACCATTGATGAACTACAAAATCTTGAACAACAGCTAGAGAGGAGTGTATCCATCATTCGTGCTCGAAAGGTTGACTTTTATCACAGAAAAGAATAAGAAGTTGACTCTCAAATATGAATTTTCATTCAACCGAGCTTGACATTCTTTGATTTATTTTGACTTTAATTGTTGGTGTTTCAGATGCAAGTATATAATGAACAAATTCAGGAACTACAAGCAAAGGTACAATACATAAATACAAGTATATAATGAACAAATTCTGTTTTTTTGTTCATATTTTTTCTCTAGTATATTCTACCTTGTAGAAGACAGTTTAATAATCATTTCTTCTAATTTCAAACCAAAAAAATGACACAAGTTATTTATTTTCTAATTTCAAACCAAAAAAATGCTTCCTGCTTTTTTAGCAATTTTCAATGTAGCTAAGTGAGCTGATTTGCATGGATCTTCAATCAAACTAATGGATCCGTAGTGATAAATTGTCGTAGTGATAGATTATCGACCGGTTAAATAAAAAAAAATGGTCGCAATTTAATCTTTCTAAATATACAACCATCAAAAATGGATGATTGAATGTATTTAGTTTTTTAAACTTTTTTGAGTTATTTTAGATTCTGCTGTTGGCTTAATTCAGATTCTGGGACAAAAAGAGTCCTAGGGGTGTTTTTGGAATATTTAGTTTTTTAAACTTTTTTGAGTTATTTTAGGAGTTTAAATTTTTTAGTATATTTTGGAACTAGGCCTTAGATGCCTTTTTTACCTCTACTTTACAGGTTAGATAGTATTTTTGTTACAGTTGTTTGGTGAGTGATATGGAAATATATTTAACATTTGGTGTATTGATTTGTTTCAGATGGCAAGTGTGCAATGTCCTCAAGACACACATTTATGGGTTTATGATGATGGGCGTTATGAGGAAGAAAATCAGAATAATATCAAGGGAAATATTTAGGAAAAGGTATGTATTGTATTATTATATATTATCTATTATCTATTATTATTATGTAATGTATGATATTTACATATGTTGTAAAAAAATTATGGTGGATAAAATGGTTTTTTGTTATTATGTAATGTATGATATTTACATATGTTGTTCTCGTTTCCTATGCCACAAGGTCAGCCACAAAGAGAAAGGGATGAAGCCAGCAATTACACAACTGTTCCAAATTACTTTGACCCCCAAAAGATTCAAAAGCTTTTATTACTTGGACTCGAGGGTTCTAGAACAAGCACCATCTTTAAGCAGGTATGCCCTTGTTTCATTTCCATTATCATTTGTTATTTGATGGTTCCATTCTGTTGGTTGTGTTTATATATTTTTTTGTTGTTGTTGGTAATGATGTTAGGCCATACCTATACTGAGGGAAATCATTCGTGTTTCACCGAATCTGGCTGAAATAAATACGACCAACAGAAGGAGCTTCATTGCCAACATAACACACATTTCCACAATATTTTATTATATCAAATATATCATATTTAAATGATTATTACAGATTTTTCCACAGTTGAGGTTCAACAAGGA